AAACACAGGCCTCTCCCAACACTTGAGATAAGACAACGAACGTTGATCAGCAGCGGGCACACCAATGAACTGCCAGCGTTTTCTACATAATTTTCATTTGTGCAGCGACGCAAGTGTGGAGAGGCGCATAGATCTACATTCTGTAGCCTACCACCAGTAGCTGGAATTTATTTCGAGTCTGAATCGTTTTTCGACTTTCAGACAAGGTGTGGGTGATATAGACTTAGAGCCTTTTACTTCAGTTGTAAGTATGTCCTCTTTTTAATATTTTACAAAGCTATAGGGTGGATCAACACCTCGGTAATCATAAAATAATGATCGTAATTAGTGTAGTGCCTACTGTTAAATCCAAGATAATTATGTAGTGTGTAAATGCAGTCATTTGTTTCTATTGTTTCTATTCTTGTTGGTTCTCCTGTTAGTTTTTAAAAGAATTCTAAACATATAGGATAATAAGATGTAAGTATGAGACAAAGTAAAATAAGCATAAAACACACACACACACACACACACACACACACACACACACACACACACACACTCTCTCTCTCTCTCTCTCTCTCTCTCTCTCTATCTATCTATCTATCTATCTATCTATCTATCTATCTATCTATCTATCTATCTATCTATCTATCTATCTATCTATCTATATATATATATATATTTCTCTCTCTCTTTCTCTCTCTCTCTTTCCGCCTCCCCCTTTATCTCTCTCTCTCTCTCTCTCTCTCTCTCTCTCTCTCTCTCTCTCTCTCTCTCTCTCTCTCCGTCTTTCTATCTATCTGTCTATCCAGCTGATACTCATACAATCCTAATGTATGCACTTTTAACTTGTCCTTTATCTTGCCCAGTTGTTCTTAACCTGGGTTGAGTTGAACTCCAGGGGTTTGGTGAGTCACTCTCAGGAGATTGGCGGGGGACGATATAACAACAACAGCAACAACAAAAACAACAACAACAACAACGACGACGACAACTACAACTACAAACAAAAAGACAAATATACAACCCAAAACAGCAATAACAACAGCAGCTACAATTTGTGTAACAAAAGAAACAGCAGTAGCGAAACATACCACATGATGGTCTAAAATAGACTGGTCTAAAAACGCTCATTTCTTTAAATCCTGTTGTTCCTAGAACTAGGTTGGTTTTTCTTTCAGCGACAAGTGCGATCGGCAGTCTCCGTGATTGTCTTTTCGTGAATGTGTTCTTTTGTAAGAATAATATTCTGGTAGAAAAGATTGCTGTACGTTCAAAGTGCCTTCATGCATATTGTGCGCCATTGTGTAAACTGTCGATTTTTATTGTAAGGTGTCTTTTGACACCAAGGAGTGGGCGCTATAGAAGTGATCTTTATCATTATCATAATATAATAATGATAATAATTACTATGATTATAATTATAATTCTTATCATTTTTTACAGTTTTTCTTTTTCTTCTTCTTTTTCTTCTTCTTCTTCTTCTTCTTCTTCTTCTTCTTCTTCTTCTTCTTCTTCTTCTTCTTCTTCTTCTTCTTCTTCTTCTTCTTCTTCTTCTTCTTCTTCTTCTTCTTCTTCTTCTTCTTCTTCTTCTTCTTCTTCTTCTTCTTCTTTATATTATATTAACATAATCATTATCATTATAATAATATAATTAATAATAATGATAATAATAATGATAATAATAATAATAATAATAATAATAATAATAATAATAATAATAAATAATCATTATCCTCTTTGCTGTTGTTGTCGTTGTTATTATTATCATTAATGTTATTTTTGTTATTGTTATGATCAAAATACAACAATGCACTACTTGTGGTTGCAAGACTTATCCATTTGACGTTCGGCCATAAACATAACAGGACAGATAAGAAACCACCCAGTTTATGGAGAAAAACAAAACAAAACAAAAGCAAAAAGAAACATTAACACCTACCCTCCCACACAGACACACACACACACCTCACACGCACACACTCACACACACACCTCACACGCACACACTCACACACACACACACACACACACACCTCACACACACACACACACCTCACAGACACACACACACACACACACACACACACACACACACACACACACACACACACACACAAAACATAGCCTGGCTGCCTGACGTTTTTCAGCGTGTCTATAAATCTGTAATCTTAATCCCCGCAGGGTGAAAAAGAAAAGAACATTATACGCCAGTACTGTGAGCGGTGTTATCTAGCGTAAGCTTAAAGTTTGACATTCCACGGATCGAATTGTTTACGCTTGTTACGTACAAGGAGGAGACGCGGGAGGAGGAGGAAGAGGGGAAGGGGGAGATGGGGTGGGGGGAAAGGATTAGTGTGTGTGTGTGTGTGTGTGTGTGTGTGT